TTCAATTTTTGTTTGGCTACAATTAATTTGTGTGAAAACTAAGGATTTTTTTAATAATAAGGAGAGTTTATATAGATTATAATAATCTAAAATAAAATCTTTGCATTTTTGCATAACAAGTCGATGAAAATGAAAAAAAAAAACTTTACTCTTACTTGTTCTATCATTGAAAGTTCAAATAAAAAGAATCGAATTAACTTATATCGTGTCAATTGCTCGACCTAACACATTCTTAATCTTTCAAAAGTTGAATCATTTGATACATAATTAAGTTAAATTGTATCATTTTCATGATTGAAAACTAAGGATATTAATTTAACTTTTATTGAGTGGGTTCAAATAACAGATAATATATATATATATATATATAAATGCAATAAACACAAAATCTATAGGTAGAGAAATGATATTGGTATCATTAAAAAAGAAAGTTATGAGATTTTTTGCACTTTTAGGTGTTTTGTACGAGATTTACTATTGATTATTCTTCATGTTCTATTGAATTAATAAATTTTTTACTTTTCATCTATCTCACTGTATGGTAAATCTAACTTATAATTGAACTACACTGAGTTTAAGATGTTGTCAATTGAGTTGATATTTCAGGAGTCATCTTATAGTATAAATATGTTTCTCTTCATGTCTTATTTTCTTTTATTGTTTTTTTTCTCTAATCGTAGTTGAAAGATATAACTTTTGGGGCATAAGCAACCAAAGTATGGTAGAGTTACAACCATGGAGGTGTCGAAGAACCGATGGAAAAAAATGGCGTTGTGGTAATGATACCTTACCAAATGAGAAATACTGTGAGCGACACATGCACAGAGGTAGAAACCGATCAAAAAATAAGAAGGTTGATGAAAATTCTCAACATATTTCTTCAGATTCTACATCCCCATCAAATATCAAATCTAAAAATGATTTGAAGATTTCAGAAGGTACAGATAATTAAATATTTCATAACTCCTTTTTCTTTGCATTATAACTCCATTTTTACAGGTAGTACCAACACTATTGCAATTGGTGAGAGTAGCAACCATGTCCAACTAGATAAAATCTCTAAAATAAATCCATCAACTTCCACTAGTTCTAGCCTGCTAATCAACATATGGAACAATAATAACAATAGTTTCAAATATTCTGATATAGGAAAAGGTAAATTCAATCAATTTTTTGTGTGTAAGTATTTCATTAATGTAGGAGTAAAGAAAGAAAAACAATATCACATTTCATCATCATATAAATTCATGATTAATTTTCTTCCCAAAATATATTTGTTCTTTGGTCCATATTTTCCTCTTTAAAAAATTAGAATATTTTTTTGAGTTTTTTTTTTTCTTATGATTACTCTAAATAAGGGAATCTAACCATACTTTCTTCCAACAATGTCATGAATTGTTGCGGTGCAACTATACTGACACTAAAGGTGAACATTATCCAGTCTGGATTGGAGCGTACCAATAATATTTAGCTCGGTCTCTAGTCAAAAAATTTTTAATAAAAATTTTTTAGACTATTCTAATCTAAATTTTGTCTAGTTTGACATA